AATATTATGATGAAGTTTGGAAGAACCTGGTTTCGCATCGTGGCCACGATCCTTCATGTTATACTCTTTTTTTGATATGCAAGAACATAAAACGTTACATTACTATTTAAAAGCAATACGAAATGAAGTGTAAGCAACAGAGCTTCTTCCGAATTAAATGGCATGTCAGAGACAATGATGAAACTTGTGTATATTCTATCAAGCACATGAATTTACGCATCCTCATTTAGAACTTGTTTAGTATGATCAAACAGAATATGTAAAATAAGGAACATTAATGGACACTATTTGGTTTATAAAATTGTATTTCCTGCGTCATTTGCGTCAATGACATCACATCCTTAATAAAGACAGTTTTTTTTTTCTAGGAGTTTTAATATATTTGTGGGACTAGAATTAATAAAACAACTGTGACAGCGTTCATGTAAAGAACATGTTCTAAAATGTCGTGTTAGAATAACTGAGCATCTACGAGAACAATAAACTGACTGACTCGCAAGCAAAGCATATATAAAATATGACAATGAAACAGTTTGTTATTATTTCACTTCTAAGACCAAATATATCTAGCATAACATGTTTCACCTATTTTATCAGCACTAAAGAAAGAAAATACCAAATATATAACATTATTCACCTTGCCTCCTGAACTAAAGTTATAAACAATATTTACGTCTTAAACGATTACTTACTATACATTCCCCCTCCACCGTAGTATCCCGGATATCCACCATATAATCCTCCAACTCCACCGGACATCCCACCAAGGCCACCATACATACCTCCCCCATACATTCCACCGTATGAGCCGGGGTATCCACCGTACATGCCACTGCCACCGTAATAACCGGGATATCCTCCGTAAAGTCCACCACCTAAACCTCCGTACATGCCACCACCATACTGCCCGCCTCCATAATATCCGGGGTACATGCCACCTCCTCCTCCATAATATCCAGGATACCCGCCGTATAGTCCACCTCCACCTAAACCTCCGAGCATGCCACCACCATATAATCCTCCGCCGTACAGTCCTCCGCCAGGATACATGCCGCCACCGTACATATAACCGTTGTTAAATGCGGTAGCAAGTCCAAACAGGAAAACGAGGATAACTGTAATTGGTTTCATGATGGTATCCTGTAACACAAAGGGAAAATTGTAACTTTCTTCAGATGTGTTCAATTATATTGTGCACTGAAATTGCATATGCTTTTATCAGTAAGGCATAGGAGAGCAGAAATAAGTTTTAATGATACTGTTACTCAAGATTAATATTGTTCTCGCTATGTGTGAATTATAAGCTGTGTGCTTATGATATTGAGAAACATGACATTTAGTTTTCTTAAGTTTTCGTTTGTTGCTGAATCATTTTTCTGCTAACCGTTCGTTTGTTAGAGTCTATCTCCATGCATATATTTTTCTTTTGTGTCTGGTTTGCTTTTCCATGGTATATGCTGTGCAATCCATTTTTTTTTCAATTTTACTAAACAACCAATTGTGAGAAATACAATTAACATGTTTTATGTTAATATGTCACTAAATGGATACCATCTCAAAAATGACCTTACTATTGCGAGGTTTAATGTTGTGCATTATTTGCTTGACAACTTCTTATAGTTTTGAGCTAAAAATCAAAACCGTTCAGATATATATGCAAATAAATCAATATATAAGGCGCTCAAAATGATTTGGATTTTGCAAGAAAAAACAGTTACTACCTACCGTTTCACCACACCAGTCAAACTTGTCAGCTTCACAATTACCTGTTCAGGAGGTGATCGTCGTTGGTATTTATACCTTACATGACGTGGGATTTAGTGTCGATAAAATTGTCAGGTTTTTTCTCTTGTTTGGGACAAATTGCAGATGACTAATGTTTTATTAGGTACGGAAATGTAATTACAACAAAATAAAGACAATCAAAAAAATTCAGTGACGGAGCTTCCAAAATGAAAAGAAACAGTGCCCTTTTATGTCCTTAATCTTTTGTTCCTTCTAAACCAAAAAAGCTAATGATCCAATGGTCAAGTATTATCCCTTGACATTAATGGGCTTTTTATATATGACTTGTTTTTAATTGATAGTCAATTTGGTTTGAGTTAAAATGCATGTTCTTTTTTTACAATAATGATAAGTTTGTTATAAAGGATGCCTAAAAAGAAGAAATAAACATGAAATATATTATTTTGAACAGGAACGAAGGAAATAATACGTATTAATACGGTCAAACCACATCAACGTGTATTCATTACAAAAAAGGATCACATCTTACAATTTGGTCAATCTCATTATTTTGTCAGATACTATCCATTGAAAGACGACAAGGATTCTAACGATAATTTTCTCTCTTCTCAGGATTTCGATAAAAACATAGTCAACCCATAAACATTTCATCAAATAGTGTAAATGAGCAACTTGGGAACAACAAAATGTATGATTCATTTTGGGTGGAATATTTTCTCCTTCTTGCAACAGTTGTAATGAGTACAAAGACACCTGACATAACGTCAACCTATGATTTAATATTACAGCATCATCCGTTTTGCAAAAGATCTGATCAAGATAAGCATTATGATGTATAAGTATCTAATGTTTGTACAGATGTCGCTGATACTGCATGAGCCCTAACCGTTGACACTGAAAATAGAAACACTCTTATCGACTTCTTCTCAAACAGCTCTTACAAACTTTGACCATTTTAGAGGGAGACTTTAAGTGAAATGACTTTTTATCGTACAGTCACCATTATTAATAATTAAACAAAGGCCGTCAATATCGCTATGCTAAATGGAAAAAAAACATCCTGGAATAAACAAAAGTTTATAATTTTACCAATAATATTAAAATACCAGTGCATTAAACAGGAAAACCTAAAATTTATCAAGCCATGCTGAGCAATATTTTAGATTTAGACATAAATATAATACATTACAAACCTTTACAAGTCGTAAATATTGCCGATATTACATAAGGTCACAGTTACTATACATAACAAATGACCATTATGGAACATTTTATTTCAAATAATTTTGATTTTATGTGAACATATTTTAATCTCATGTCTAAAACGGCACAACGAACGAACCATTGTTTTAGGTATATTTATAATAATTCTCACAAAATATTTGCTAAGAACCTTTTTGTAGGGAATCTCATATGCTTTACAACTGAGGGACTGCAATCTCTTCATACGTTTTCTGATATATTTGTATCATTCTGGAATTCTTCAAGCATCGTGTAACTAGTACCATTATTGGGAATGGAAATAGTGACATTTCAAAGCCAAATGTCCTTCAAAGTCTATCATTCAAATTCCATCCATTTACTTTTATATATCTAAGATACTGTGAAATAAAGCAATAAATGATTGATCGAATGAATGTAATTACTAATTTTGTTGAGCCAATTCGTACACAAGATGACATGGCACTAATTATGCATTTAAAACCACTGTTCATCATTATGCCTGTAAGTTTTGTCGTATATTGTATTTTATCACATATTAGGGAGTTTTCCTATAGTATGTACAGTTTCATATTTTGTTATATTACCAGACGTTACAATATCACTTTATGTGATTTTCATTGGTCCAAATAAGCCCATGAAATTATTGTGCAGTATTCTCCTTACTAATTTGCTGCAATATGGAGAAACATATTTAAGCCCGCCTTTTATGTGTTTATTTAGACGTATTATGTCTCACAGGTAGAGATAAAACTGAATGAGTGAATCAATATAGTCTCGATTCAATCAGGACTAAGATAATGTTATGTCTGTCGATGATTGACCCATATAAGGAATACTTATATTGCAAAATACGCTTATCTTGTAACCTGATTGTATTTCTTTCTCAGTTCGACCCTAGTGTTCATGATGCGTCTACTAATGCGTCAGAGAATGTCTTTATCAACTTGCGTAGCAACCGGAGATATTGTCATGATTTTCCAATGCGCGGCACTGGGATGGTACAGCCATAAATGATACTTCCAATCAGTCTTAAATGCATTTTGTTTAAGAAAATAGTCTTCTATGTTATCCTTTCTGTGTGTATGTGTGACTTATCATCTTAGCAGCATGTCATGTTTATCATGCTAATAATTGGGTAATCTACCTTCCTTTTCTTTTTATGTTATTAATAATCTTATAAAGAGTACATGAGAATAAAAGAATGGGCCAAAAAGTTTATATAAATAAATATATATATATATATATATATATATATATATATATATATATATATATATATATATATATATATATATATATATATATATATATATATATATATATATACTGATATTGGATATTCTTTATGCTTTGATTGAGAAAAAAAGTTTGAATAACCCTTAGGTGATAGATCATTATGAAATAGTCAACAAAAAGTGTAATTATATGCTTCATATGCAATAATGAAGAACCGCTTGAAGTTAACCTAATTGTTTATTGCTCACTTTGTTTCATTTAGTCAAGTTACACTAAGGGACAATAAACAAGAAAAAACTTCACATATAATTACAAAAATAACACCCACATAGTCAATATATGAAACTACAATCAGTATTTTTATTAAAATTTTACATTTCATTATTAACCAATTTTGGACAACTAAACCCGTATATACTCTATTATTTTTCACCCATTTCTAGACTGGTTCACAGTTCTTCCACATAATTAGTACCGTGTGTCCAATATTAGAGAATAAGCAGTTTATATCATAACTAAAGATTGGATCATTTTTATGCCTTGTTTTGTTTATTGTGTAGTGCTCTGAAGTGTGATTTTTTTATGTGTATATATGTAATAGCCAAGGAAATTAGTGTGGTGTACATAAATATTACAGGTTATAATTCATCTGGTAAATGAAGTTGCGCGGTATACACAACTTTTGACAATTTCATCGTAATTTATGACAGTAAGACAAACATCAATGTCCGGCTCAGCGGTTTCATCATCACATATACTTTTAACAAAATTATCAACACTATCAACCAAAAATCGTTCCGGTGGCTTACTGGTTAGGGCGTCCGCCTCAGATGAGGGAGGTCGAGGGTTCAATCCCCGGTTGAGTCAAGCCAAAGACTTACAAAAATGGTACTAACAGCTGCCTCGCTTGAGGCTCAGCATTAAGAAGTTAGTGTTAGAAATGATTGGCCTGATATCAGGATAATATGACTGGGTGGGACATCATGCTACATATCTGCGGCATGATACCCTAGTGATAGACATCCATATAAACTGTCACACTGCAGTATGGTAGCGATATGACTGAAATATTGTAAAATCTATCTTAAAAATCATAATCACATCACTACCAACAAAATAATTGTGTTTAATTTGCATTATTGCAGTGTTCCATTGCTGGATCAAGTGCGCTTGACAGGGCTTTTATTCGCCATATGATTTGCAGTCTTGATATATATATATATATATATATATATATATATATATATATATATATATATATATATATATATATATATATATATATATATATATATATATATATGTGTGTGTGTGTGTGTGTCTTTTTGTGTGTGTAGATGATAGATAGATAGATAGATAGATAGATAGATAGATAGATAGATAGATAGATAGATAGATAGATAGATAGATAGATAGATAGATAGATAGATAGATAGATAGATAGATAGATAGATAGATAGATAGATAGATAGATAGATAGATAGATAGATAGATAGGGTTTCTCAAATTAGGCTTTAAATGATTGAATTACCTCTATATGATCATTCACTGAACTATAATTGTAGAAAAGTCTCTATTGAATGTTTTCGTAATTTCTCTTCTACTTCCATTTGTTATATTCGAATAGCATGTTTTTTTGTTTTGTTTATTCAAAACCTCTTTCAACCTATTTCCCTTTGACTTGATTCGTCAGTGCCTACTTCACAACACTAATATCAATAGCATATTGCTGATCTGAATATCAATATATACTAATTAGGGCCTTTTATATTCAAGTGTATAGTTTGGTTTTGAGAGTTAACGATTCCTCTTCTTAGAAAAGCTGCACTGGTACATTGCATGTTATTTTCATGACTCTAATTATGGCATACACTGACCTTTAATATATTCTCTAAACCTACATTTTTATAGTGACATCTTCGAAATCATTTGTCTGTAACTGATTGTCTTGCATCTAAGTTCCACGATCCTCATACCAGGTACAATTAGCAACAAATTTCCTAATCTCACCATTTTTTCTCGTCTTATTGGAAAATTCTTTAAGAAACTTTTGAAGTTTTGTTTGTAAATCTTAGTGACTTTTTTGTTTCTTCAACGTTACTCTGTACAGTATATATTTTAGCACTTATTCATTGTTTAATTGATCTGCCAATATTAATCTATATCGCTCTTGTATGGATCAGATGAACAAATATTTAAAGCCAATAAAAACATGATTTAGTAATTAGTCACTAGTTCAATAAATCCTTATCATCTCAAATATTTTTTTGTGTTATTATTTCTATTGCATGTCTAACAAATTAGTAGTTTGTATAGTAAATTCTGTTTCAAAACTGTTATATTATTACTAGCTCGTTTTCTCCTTATGTTGATATCTTCCGATATATTAACTTCCGAAATTCTTTTGTATATGTTAGTAAAACGCCTATTATGTACGAACAGTCTAGCGTCAACATCACGGTTTTCTCTAGGGTCTTCTAACTTTATAACAATGTTATTCAAATTTAAGCTATTATCGTTGTCTAACGGTTGACGTAGTAATTTATTTATCTTGTCCTTTCCTTCTTCTTAGTGAATTTATTCAAAACTCATTTTGATCTCTTAAAGATATTTATGAAATTATCCCATACGAAACTTAAGTTGCTTGAATTTGCATGATTTGAGCTTAATTTTGGATGCACGAGAAAATAATGCTACTACGAGCTATTCAGAGTACATATGAAACAAGGGAACTATTAATAATATATCATCATTCTGTCTTCCTCTTCTATATTTAGATTTTATCTGCTTATTGTACATTTATAGAATGCTTTAATTGGATTATTAATATCCTTGAGACGAAATCACCTTAAATGCATTTTACTATATATTTACCATAACAGAGTTCGTTAGGTACTGTTACAGTAATTACTAGTAATTGGTTCAGTATACAAAAACTTTAAGGACTCCAAACTTCTCATTGTATCTGATTCCGTTGTTGCTTGTATATATCATTGTCCATTAATCCTAGTACCATATTGTTATATACATTACATACCTACTTCTGGGGAATGCTTAAACTTTAGACTTTTACCTATAGAATTCAACATCAATAACTTCTAATATACCAGTATCAGGATTATCCCTTCTTAAAGACCTGATTCTTTATAAATTCATTTTACTCATTTAAATGGTCAAGTATTGCAAGAGTTTGCTTTTGCGTATGATTTCGATAATTAGAGTGATACTAAATACCATCTCAAGATTTAACTACACTGGTAGCCGATATATACAAAGAATTTATTAAGAATAAATTATAATATATATTTTAATTATGAGGAAAGAAACAACACAATACATACATACATACATGCATGCATACATGCATGCATACATACATACATACATACATACATACATACATACATACATACATACATACATACATACATACATACATACATACATACATACATACATACATACATACATACATACATACATACATGCATGCATGCATGCATGCATGCATGCATGCATGCATGCATGCATGCATGCATGCATGCATGCATGCATACATACATACATACATACATACATACATACATACATACATACATACATACATACATACATACATACATACATACATACATACATACATACATACATAATAATTTTTTGTTTCGAGGTAAAGGTGAATTAAAGGAGACAAATATGTAAAGATTAAATTAACCCAAACTACATATTTAATTTGATATATGCATAAGTTTCATTTTCTGAAAATTTGTGCCCTTCATTAAATCCTGTTAAGAAACAATTTATGAAAATTCGATCATCTCTCACAGATCGGGGATAGAGCAACGAGCTTCCCTCCTCTGAACAAATAGCGGCTGTAACTTCATTTGAGACACGGTGTACACACATTGTTGATAAAGCAGTCAAGCATTTTATGAGTTGGCTGTGCTTGACTGTTTAAATTATGGCGCCTGTCAGTGATGACAATGATGTGGATGACGTTCCTGAAGTTGAATATTCCGTTAACTTCCAACGTTACATGTATGAACCAGAGATAGATTTGTGTTACAAAAATGTACAAGGACTTGTCAGAGTTCTGACAATGACAATTATCTGGAGTATCATTGGCCTGGGGTAGAAGAAGCACAGTTGCTTGAAAACGTAAATTGGTAATAATCTTAATATGAACAAATCGATAAATATCATTGATCAGCTACATTTAGTTTTAAATACCAAATTGAATAGATGTACAAAATCTAATTGAATAAACGTGAAAGGTAGGTAGGGGGCTATAACACTTTGCAGATCACAAGGTGTTTTGAAAAACAAATACATTACTTGTTTCTTCCTTCGTTTAATTTTCTGTTTAGTCGAAACAATTTATTTAAAGGGAACTTTACAGATAAGGGGAATACGTTTTATTGGCAGCTTTTTAGGGGTGGAAATTCGTTTTCATTTTCTATAGCCTGAATTAATCCAACGGTTATGAATTGAATTTGTACATGTTTTAAGTAAATGTACGTTCTTAAAAGAACTGGACATTTAAAATATCAAACCGGCAACAGTTTTTCAAATATTTTTTCCCACACAGGTTCTTGTGTCATAAATGTGTGGCAATGTCCACCCACTAGGGATTCATTGTAAACTGTTTTAACATACATATCTTAGAAACTTCATTTTATGTGTACATTCCAGAAAATGTTAGATTAAGGGAGAATAACAAGATCCATATGTGAGTACTAATCTTACAAGAACAACAAAAAACAAATTGGAGAAAAATGAAAACGGGTGTATGATCCATTTTATGAACATTTTTATAATAAAACAATTTGGTAAGTTGTGCTTGAAAACAGAAACTTGGTCTGCAAATGAAAATGACAAATATAGGACATTTATCTCAATTGTGTGTGTTTGTTAGAGGTATAAATAGTACATAACACATTAAATCCCGCACCTCCTTTAAGGCACCATAAACCAATGTTAAAAAATAAATAATATGTATACTTTTCAGTAAACTTTATTTTGTTCTTTCAGAGTTTATCTTACATAGAATATAGACGATTTGTCCGCTGGGTGTGTAAGATACTTGGCAAAAGAAGCAGAAAGATATTGCCATCATGTGTAGTGAGCACGATTCCCAAGACCTTATCATCCGAAACATACAGAGGATTCAAGTATCCTCGCAGCTGACTGACGAATCTAAAAGCTTAAGATATTTCTAGAAATGTGTGTGTGAATGCATGTGTATAATAGAAAAATAATCAATCAGAATCTACTGGGTCAAATTGTACATTCAGGTATTGAAACCTTGACTGTTCTTGAATTATTGAGTCCTTATATATAACTGGATTCTTTTTGTATAAAGAGGCTACAGCTGTTGGTGGAGGGTTTATTTCGTGGTTCCTAGCTTCATATGCTATGTGATATATGCAGTATAATTCTCGCCACGTTACTTCTTCCATCAGTTTTTGGATATAATCTAAAAATGTGAGTTTTCTTACGTCATATAGGCAGCTATCAGTATGTTTCTATGGAAAATACAATAAAATTCTTCCAAAGAGAGACGTGATACAAATATTTGAATATATGTATAACGTTGCTACTTTTGTGCTGAAAGTAAAACAAATATGTTAGAGCAGGATTAAGAATAAAATAACTGATTCTAGTTTATGTTTGTATTCATGTTCAGCAGTTTATACATTATCAGTTGGGTCAATATTCACCTTCATAATGACAATTTTTCAGAATTGTTAAGAAAAAATATTAATATGATTTAACCTATGTTACGTTGCTTACCATGATTCTGTTTGACATTTACTAGCTTTGCTACTGGATCACCCTTTCCAGTCTTCTGAAAAGAGATTCTATAC